CTATCTATCTATCTATCTATCTATCTATCTATCTATCTATCTATCTACCTATCTATCTATGTCTGTCTCTTTCTATCAATCTATCATCTAACAAATAAACACATACATTTAAGAAGTGTTGTGTGGCTTTATGACAGGCATGGCAAGTACAAATCAGATTTTTGTTCACTGAGATGTGTTTGCAATTGAAAAATAATATTTATTGCATATTTGTTTATTTACAGAAATCCCATGAATTATGGAACATTCCAAACAAAAATGGAATCGAAGATGTATGAATGAGGTAAGAGCACCATATGATGCAAATAAAGGAAGTATGAGAATAGAAGACATGCAGAATGGATAATTCAACACTGAACAGGAAATAGAAGACTCCCCTCTTGGTTGTTTACTGTATTTAGGCATAAATATACATGGTATACTGGTGGTGAAATTACAGTGCTGGAGACTATGAATGTACTGTATATGTACTTTGTATGCAGGTAATGCTGTGTTGTTGAATGAGAACTCAAATGATTTGAAGTGAGTGACATATAGATTTAAGATGCAATGAGAAGTTTAAATCTGAAAATTAACATATCAAAGTCCAAAGTATTTTTATTTGATTAGAGAAAATGGAACTAACAGGTTGCAAATAATACATATCTGGTTAAAAAAGAAGTAGAGAAACTGAATTAATTCTTGTACCCTAGTAGAATGTTTAGTAGAAGTAGAATAACAAATGAAGAAATTTTAAGATGTATAAATGTTGTAGAAAGTAATAGGTAGTATATATAGTTGTAATGAATGGTTTTTGTGCAAAAAAAAAAAGTAAAAATGATGATGTATAAAAGTGTGCTTCTGCCTAGTTTGTTAATGGGAAGTTACTGGTTATGTCATGAGAAATAAAAAGGAAAACCTAATGCAATGGAAATCAGATACTTAAATAGCAATTGTGGCAAAGCAGGGAAAAGTAGGAAAAAGAACAAATAGATTCTGGATGGATATGCAAAAGGATGCAAAAGGGAGTGGCTCATATGAAGTATGTTGGGATGATATAGAAAAAATAAATGAGGATCAAAATGCCACAAATATGAGTGAAAATATTGAGAGGGCAAAGACTAAAAAATCCTGGCAAAAACAGAGAAGTATTTATTGTTATTTAATTGTATGAGCCATCCAGAGTCATGTATGTGACATGCTCAGCTGAATGAATGAATGAATGAATGATAATGTATGAAATGGAGGGTTGATGTAAAGGAAGTGATGTCTTGCAAAGATAGAAAGGTATGGAAAAGTATAATGAAGTTTGAGTGTAAACTTGGTTTAGATATTCTCCTTCCCTCTCATGCCTTCAATATCTTCCTTCTATACTTTGCATAGAGATCCTTACCTCAAAAGATAGTAATGTTATAAGTGTATATTTCTGCATGTGTGCCTGTATGTACTTAACATTAATTTATATCAAAACTCAGGCCACAACATCAATAACCATGGTCACATAAGCAGTAAATCGTTGAATGGCAATGGATCTTTGCTTTGATAACTCACCTCATTGAGGCAAAACATGATGCTCTGAAGCCTGGTCAGGCAAGTTCAATAGATGATGAGTTGGTCAAAGCTTTAATTCATACCCGTTGCTTGGCAGAACTTTCTCTAACTATTGCAATTGTCAACTAAGGCCAAGGAGCAATAATGAACAGAAACCATCTTTGCTTTATTTTTAAAAGATAGGGGCATTCTATCATAGTATTTTACAATGACATTTGGAATTCCACTAATTTTGTGGTTTTTTTTTTTCTTTTCATAGAAAATTATTTAAGAATAAATATCAGGACAGTTGCAAAGTATCTTGTGACTCCAATATCTGCTGACCAAGTGTTAAGTGTTGATAGGTTGCTTTGAGTTCCTATTTGGATAATAGCCAAGGTGGCCATTCTAATATACTGTGAGACATATGGGCAGCTTGCTATCAATAAAGAACTTTTCTATTTCAGCTATCAAATGTCAATTTCTCTTATTGCTCAGTATTGCAAGCTGCCAAATGTCAAGTATAAAAATAAAAATAGCTAGAGAATATACAGCAAAGATGCTAATCACTTCAAAGGGAAATAATTAACAACAAATTTGGCAGAAGTCCTTCCTTCCTTTCTTCCCTCCCTCCCTCCCTCTTCCCTTCCTCCCTCTGTCCCAGTGAATTTAGTAGAAGTGTTAAGATGCCAATATTCTTTGTCTTTACAGGAGAGATCACACAAATGCAACCCTTCATCGATCTGTTCATGCTTTGATTGGAATGCCCATGTTTATTTGTTTATTGCATCACTGCGTAACTTTTGAGACATCTAATACAGGATTTATAATGAAATAATAATAAGACAAAATAGTGCTTTCCCTCAACAGCTTGAACAGAAGACAGGAGACATAATAGAAAGGGGGAATGAGGGAGGGAGCAAGCCTACCAACAAGATTAGCTACTAAGCGAGAGGCTTTACATATTAAAATGTGATTTGCGTATTTTATCCCACATCAAATGAGCAACCAGAAGGTTTCATGGAAGAGTACTGAACAAGTACATATATATTTTACCGCTCCAAGCTTTTTCATTTAGACTGCATAAGACCCAGCTTTTTCAAAATAAAAGTTGGAAAGCTAAATTATTATTTGAGAGTTCATAAAAAAGCATTTCTAGATATTCAGAAAATAATAAGAAGGGATACAAAAGAGATAGCATCTGATTATCAGCTTTTGCCATCCAACCATGAAATAACTTCAGACAAATACATGGGACCCCAATTTTTCCTCTTTCCCCCAAATTTAGCTATTGTTTTAGTGAGAAGAGCCTTCATCAACCCTCCAGATCCTTGGCCTCCCTGTCCTAGTTCGTATCTACTTTCCACTACAACCTGAATCCAGATTTTTCCCTGGTTGGAACTTCCTCTCCTTAGAACTGCAAGGTGTAGAAGCTGGTGGGGAAGACAAATACAGTCTTAATGTCAACTAAAAAGATACTCCTTTGGTCTTTTTAGTTGCCAGAAAAAGGGAATGGGGGAAAACAAGGCATTCTTGAAATGCCTAGATATTAACTCAGCAGCCCAAAGTTGTAGGAGCATAAGAAGATTATTGGAGAGCATGATAGATGACTCTTGGAGACTGATGTGTCCTATTGGAGAAGTCACATCCAGGGGGTGGGGGAAAGACCAGAGTCAAGGGAGAAATGTAGGATAGAATAGAATAGAATAGAATAGAATAGAATAGAATAGAATAGAATAGAATAGAATAGAATAGAAT